TCAGAGGTCATGAATCCGACATCATTCACTGTAAGCTATCAAAAGGAACTTTGCCTTCTAAGTTTGTTCTCCTGTTTACAATGTGAATAAATATAACTCATATTATTCAAACCCTTTCTGGGGGATAATGGGTCCATTGGGCCCAGTTAAGCTGATCATAGCTGCCCTTCTTACCTAACAGATGATTTTATAGCTTTGAGCTCTTGTTATTTGTCCCTTTTTACACATTTCTAACTGGAGATAAGTATACAATAATTGATACTGATTTTTGGAATAATTTTTGGAACGTTTTAGCCTTCATGTGAGGTAAAAGCAAGTTTAGTCTTTCTGTTTTGACATCATCTGATCAGATTTACCTGCAGACTTCTGGTCTATTTCTATAGTTTTGGTTCTCTTCTACCTTCTGTCTGCATGTTGTTTCAAACTAGGGCAGAGAGCAAACAACCTCTGCCCTGGAATCAGTGGCACTAATCCTGTCTGAAGAGAGCCTTGGTTTTCCCACCCTTCTTGGGTAGGCTTCTAGACATGATGATTAGTTTGCTCTTCCTGGTTACAGCAGAGCTTTTGGCCTTGATCCTTTATCTGCTTTGCTCTCTATTTGTTGAGTGAGTGAACAAGTACACATAGATCAGTCCAGTCTCCCAACCCTGCCCCTTAAAACAAATCAAAGGACATGATTTTTAGCCACCTAAGGCAAATATTTTAATAAAAAATATCTCTAGAATATAAAATTTAAAATCATCTGCAGCCTATAACATATTATTCTGCCTTATTTTATCGTGTGTTCAGTGCATTCATTTTTCAAGATGGATGAATCATAAGCTAATTTAAAACAATTTAGCCATGAAAATCCCTGTAGCATGTGCAGAACTAAGATTAAATTTAAGGCAATAATAATTCCCTGTCAGGAGAAAATGAATATATTTCATCACGGTACTTCACTTGAAAAGTAATTGAGTCACCATTTCTATTCACATTACCATCTGAACATGGTAAAACTAAATTAAAAAGTATGAGATTGTAATGTGGTTTTTGAAAAGTCTATTTTAATTGTCAGACTTGAATGTGACACTTTGCATCTAACACAAGTTATTTTTTCAAAAGTAGGAAAGCACTAAATTATATTTATGGAAACTTAATATCATTTGGGGCATTAAATGGAAGTACTATTCATATATTTTGTAGTAAAATTTTAACTAGAAAATTCTGGGAATGGACTTTTTTCAATATTTCTCTCAAACTGAAGAACAAAATCTTTCTTAATCTACAGACCTAGACATTCAAAAATTGTATTTTTTTCCTATGTTGTGTCCCCAGTACACCCAATAATAGAGAATTAGTTTTAGAAATTCAGGAGTCACAGCAGGGTTTCCTTAGTGAATTCTAGGATTCTGTGTTTCTTGTTCAGGGTTTATTTACTACCTGGAAGTGGGGAGAGGGCTTTAAGTTACGCATAGATGGAGATGGCTGTTGGAGACAGAGGCCTGGTCCTCAGACAGCATTCATCTTCTCATAAAAATAATACTCATTTATGTTACCACTGTCAGATTTCATGCTCCTGAGTATATATGGCCAGAAAAATGTAGTGACGCTCCCCTTGTTACAGCAGATCAGGGAATCTAATAACCTTAGTCCACGGCAAAAGAAGAAGTAGGAGTTTTGGAAGTGAATCAGATTTAGGCTTCTACTACAGAGAGAACTCTGTGTGTTGGATGAATGAATGAATGCGTGAGTAAGTAAATGTTTCCGCTGCGACCGTTTTGAGAACCAGGAAGCTATTTGTCTCTTTCCACAGGACAGAACTGGTCTGTTTGTTTATCACTTGTTCTCAGCTTTCAGAGGACTTGCTGCTTGCCTTTTCCCTATGCTGTTCCTGCCACTGGTCTCCTGTACTCTTCCTGTTTTGCTTTGGTTTTTTCTTTTTTTATTATTATTATTTTTTCATTTATTTATTTGCTCATTTATTTATATTAGTTGGAGGCTAGTTACTTTACAATATTGTAGTGGTTTTTGCCATACATTGACATGAATCAGCCATGGATGTACATGTGTTCCCCATCCTGAACCCCCCTCCCACCTCCCTCCCCATCCCATCCCTCTGGGTCATCCCAGTGCACCAGCCCCGAGCACTTGTCTCATGCATCCAACCTGGTTTTTTCTTTTTATTTCCCCTGGCTTGTATTATTTCTCCTATGTGCCTTGGCTTTCCTGAGAAAAGGTTAACATTGCGTTGCCTTGTTCGGCCAGACTAATCTTGCACTAGCGGCCCCAGAATAAGGAGTAGCTGCTGCTGCTAAGTCGCTCAGTTGTGTCCAGCTCTTTGCAACCCCATGGACTGCAGCCCACCAGGCTCCTCCGTCCATGGGGTTTTCCAGGCAAGAGCACTGGAGTGGGGTGCCATTGCCTTCTCTGGTAAGGAGCAGAGCTGTGTTCTTTGGCTCCTCATGACTGTGCGTCTGCTGCTTCAGTGTCATAATCCAGTTCCAGGGCTCGCGAGGCAGACTGCCAGAAAACAGAGACTGTACTCACTGTGCTGGCTGCATACATCAGCAGAATCAACATTTGCATCTAGGTCTGCTGTGTCATGCTTGCCGGTTGTTTGAACACAGACCTGTAGGACCCAGACTGGGCAAACAAAACCAAAAGAGGAAAAACTGCATTAAGAAAATGTTTGGCATTATCCAATGATCAAGCATTCCAGTCTAATTATAGTGCTAGGCCATGCCAAGCATTGGTTTCTCTAAGTTTGCAGAGGACTCTAGACTTTTGTTTTCTCATAATTAGTTTCTAATCTAATTAATATGTAGGTTCTGATGAACTGGCTCATTCTTCATCAGTGGATGGAGACCCCAATGTCATGCTTGTGTAGTCTAAGTTCACCCCATTCTCAAACTCATGCTTTAATAGAGTAATTGCTTATAAAATCACTTTCAGATAATCAGCTCAAAATCCTGCCTTCAATTAGAAGAAAAGTTCATTTAATTACTGTAAAGCATTAATTAAATTCAGACCATTATTTATTTATCTCAGGCCTACTGAATCAGAATCTGCATGTTGACAAGATTCCTACGAAATTCATCTGCATGTTAAAGTTTAAGAAGAGCAGTTCTCAAACTTGGTGGCACAGTGCAATAACCCCCAGAGTTATTAAAACTTACTGATGGTGGGCTTCCTCTTAAGAAGATTCTGATTCAGCTGGCATGGGATCTGGTTTAAGCATCGGGATTTGTGAAAAGCTTGTTAGGTCATTCTAATGTGCAGAAAACTTTGAGAATCACTGGTCAAGGAGAGTGAGAGGGTAAATAGACCAGGACAGTGGTCCTCAATCTTTGTGGGTATCACCACCAAATACAGAGCCAGGCTGATGGACTAGGCTAGACCCTGAGCCCTCATATGTGCCAAGTTTCCCATTGGTTCTGACAAACACCAATGTTTAAGAACCGCTCAACCAGGAAAGCATACATAATTATCAGGCAGCTTTTAGAGTCTCTTTGACATTCCTGGGGAATCTCCCTTTGGTTCTGTTTTTATGACTTGATGAGAACACTGATACGAGCATCTGTGTGACCACTCTATTAACTTCCTATTTTATCACCTAATAGGTATCTAGAATTGGTTCTTCCAGGGATTAAATCATGCCCTGGTTGTTTGCTAGCATAGTGCTACTAAGAACATTTTTTATGTGGGGTCTTCAAGGAAAAAAAATTCAAAGATATAAAATCATGTATTTATACAATTTCTTCCCCCCAGTTATCAGAACATACATGAAAATTTGCATATGCAAATATCTAGATTCATAGACTCTTAGATCTAGAGTGTTAGGCTTTAAGATTGTTAGCTCTTAGAGATGATCTAAGCTAATTGTCCTTTTCAGTTAAGGGAAGGGGAGACTAGGAGTGAGTGAGTACCCCAGGACCACACAGAGAATGGCAGAGTATGAGCAATAGCTCTGATAATCTTTAAAAGTTTGAGCAGGTAAGCCTGCAACCTCAGCCTCAACCATGTAAGTTAATTATTACAAAGATAAATTAGTCCAATAAAAGAATAAAGTTTACAGGTGATATATTTACTCACATGCATGTAATTGATCATTTGTAACATAATTATGCCCAAATGGTGAGGAGTTTGAATAGATGGCTGTAATTAATATTGCTTTCATACTGGCATCCTTGTTTTTATCAATTTTTCTATCCCCAGTTTAACTTTCTGTTATATATCAATACAATCAGCACAAGAGCTTAGTTTTCCCCCAGTAGTATAGTTTGTCCTACAAAACATGTATGCCATTCTGTAGACATTTGCAAACATTGAGGAGAAGAAGCCTTAGCACCCCAGCATGTCTGAGAAGAGACTCAGTTGACTTTGCCCCATTTGCTCTGTAACTCCTCTGGCTCCCATCTCTGCTCCTCATAGCTGCAGTCTCTCAGCTTTCTTACAGAATCGAAGATGAGTGCTTGTAAATAGACAAACCTGGTATCCACAGTGTTTGGATCAATAGCCCTTCTTAAATACTTGAGCAATTCTCTCCAAAGGAAGTCGAGCGTGCACCTCTGGACAGATTTCTGAAAATAAGGCTTCTTTTTCACACTCCCTTGCCATCTACTCCATCTGTGACCTCCTCAGTGTCTCCCACGAAGCACACGGTGCCTTTGAGCTGCCTGCTGTTTCCCCACTGGAACTCTTCCACCAGGCCCACCCTCTAGTATTTCTTCCTACATTTCTCAGGGACTTGAGTATCTAATAGATTTTGATTTTAGATTCATATAGGTAATTCTGCATTAATGAGTGACTGCATTATTTTAATTTTTTTTTTGCACACACAGAAAAACTGGTTGTAACTAACTTAAAAAAAATTACAAAGAAAAATGAACAGGAAGGAGGGAGTGTCTCAGAGAATTTAATAAAGAATTGTACCACTTCACCCTGGAAAAGGCAAGGAACAGGGCAGAAAATGTACTTGAATCTTACCAGAGGAGCTGAAAGTAAAGTAACTGGTCTCCATGGAAGCTGGTGTGTGGAAGCTGGCTCAAAGAGGCTCGGCAGAACAAGGTATATTTTCTGGAGTTTTGCAAACCAAATGACATTATGTTAGTACCTTGAAATTGGCCATAAGGTATTTACACAAAGGAAATTGGCAGCTGCTATAAAAGGCATTCCCAGAATACCACCACTCAGGTCCATCTTTGTTCCAAACTTCAAATTCCGAAGAGTTGTATTGGAACGGGGCATTTTAAGTTCCATTTCTGTGTTAATTATGTATGGCAAGGAGAACAGGGTTATAATATTACAGATATGGCAAACTCTGTATATCGATGGTGCCCCCAGGAAAGGGGATCTTTATGAACTGGGAAGTCACCCAAAGCCTTTCTGCACAGCTTCTATCCCTTTTCACATATTTGATTCTTAAACAAGGTTAAGAAATTAGGAAATGATGAAATATGACATGTTTCCCTCACTGGAAGAGAATTTAGATACTTAGCCATGACTGTGATAGATGCTACAGCCACTTCAGAGGGTCACAACAGACTGCACGTTATAACCAATTGGGACCTTAAACAGTAGGCCAGTTCCTGGGCCCCATCAGACAGATCCATGCTTGAACTGAGTGTCACTAAGTTTTAAAAGCACCTCAGCATGGAGATTGTTGTTGTTTAGTTGCTAAGTGGTGTCCAACTCTTTGCAACTCCATGAATTGCGGCATGCCAGGCTTCCCTGACCTTTGCCATATCACAGAGTTTGCTCAGATTCATGTCCACTGAGTCAGTGATGCCATCCAACCATCTCATTCTCTGCTGCCCTCTTCTCCTTTGTCCTTCAGTCTTTCCCAGAATCAGGGTCTTTTCTGATGAGTTGTCTCTTAGCATCAGGTGGCCAAATCATTGGAGCTTCAGCATCATTCCTTCCAATGAATATTCAGAGCTGATTTCCTTTATAAGAGTATTGTTTTGTATGTTTGAAAGTTGCTAAAAAGGTAGATTTTTCTTGTGTTTTCATTGCAAGGAAAATAAAATTGTAACTATAGATGGTGATGAATGTTAAGTAAATATAGTTCACAATATATACATGTTTCAAAGCACATTCATCTGCATGTAAAACAAATGTAAAACTACACATCAATTATATCTCAGCAAAAAAAAGAAGAAAGCATCTCATATAATTCCAAAGGAAACCAGGGCTGAAAACAACTGAGGTTATGAGTTGGCATCGTTAAAGCCTTTGTTGTTGTTCAGTTGCTTAGTTGTCCAACTATTTGCTACCCCATGGACTGCAGCATACCAGGCTTCCCCATCCTTCACTATCTCCCTGAGTTTGCTCAAACTCATGTCCACTGAGTTGATGAGGCTATCCAACCATCTCATCCTCTGTCATCCCCTTCTCCTGCCTTTAATCTTTCCCAGCATCAGAGTTGTTTTCAAATGAGTCAGTTCTTTGCATCAGGTGGCCAAAGTATTGGAGTTTCAGCTTCAACATCAGTTCTCACAATGAATACTCAGGGTTAATTTTCTTTAGGATGGACTGGTTTGATCTCCTTGCTGTCCAAGGGACTCTCAAAAGTTTGTTCCAGCACCACATTTCGAAAGCATCAATCCTTCATTACTCAGGCTTTTTTGTTGTCCAGCTCTCATGTCTTTACATGACTGCTGGAAAAACTATCGTTGTGACTGTACAGACCTTTGTTGGCAAAGTAATGTCTCTGCTTTTTAATATGCTGTTTGCCATAGCTTTTCTTCCAAGGAGTAAGCATCTTTTAATTTCATGACAGCAGTCACCATCTGCAGTGATTTTGGAACCCAAGAAAATAAAATTTGTCACTGTTTCCACTTTTTTCCCTTCTATTTGCCATGAAGTGATGGGACTAAATGCCATGATCTCAGTTTTTTGAATGTTGAGTTTTAAGCCAGTTTTTTCACTCTCCTATTTCACCTAATTTATCAATAGGCTGTTTAGTTCCTCTTTGCTTTTTTTTGGTTCCTCTTTGCTTTCTTCCATGAGAGTGGTGTCATCTGCATATCTGAGGTTATTGATTTCTCCCCGAAATCTTGATTCCAGCTTGTGATTGAGCCAGGTACATTCATTTCACATGATGTGCCCTGCATATAAGTTAAATAAGCAGAGTGAAAATATACAGTCTGGAATGAATGGAATTGTGCAGTAGTTTGAACATTCTTCAGCATTGGCCTTTTTTGGGGTTGGAATAACAACTGACCTTCTCCAGTCCCATGATCACAGCTGAGTTTACCAAGTTTGCTGACATATTGAGTGCAACACTTTAACAGTATCATCTTTTAGGATTTGAAATAGCTCAGCTGGAATGCCATCTTCTCTATTAACTTTGTTCATAGTAATGCTTCCTAAGGCCCACTTGACTTCACACTCCAGGATGTCTGGCTTTAGGTGAATGACCATACCATCATGGTTATCCTGGTCATTATGACCTTTTTTGTACAGTCCTGTGTCTTCTCGCCATCTCTTCTGCTTCTGTTATTTCCTTGAAGTTTCTGTCCTTTATTGTGCCCATCTTTGAATGAAATGTTCTCTTTGTATCTCTAATTTTCTTGAAGAGATCTCAAGTCTTTCCCATTCTATTGTTTTCCTCTATTTCTTTGTATTGTTCTTTGAAGAAGGCCTTCTTTTCTCTCCTTGCTATTCTCGAGAACTCTGCATTCACTTGGGTATAGCTTTCCCTTTCTACCTTGCTTTTCCATTCTCTTCTTTTCTCAGCTATTTGTAAGGCCTCCTCAGACAACCATTTTGCCTCCTTGCATTTCTTTTTCTTAGGGATGGTTTTGGTCACCACCTCCAGTACAATGTTACATACCTCCATCCATAGTTCTTTAGGCACTCTTATCATGTCTAATCCCTTGAGTCTATTTGTCACTTCCACCATATCATAAGGGATTTTATTTAGGTCATACATGAATGGCCTAGTGGTTTTCCCTATTTTCTTCAATTTAAGTCTAAATTTTGCAATAAGGAGCTCATGATCTCAGCCATAGTCAGCTCCAGGTCTTGTTTTTGCTGACTGAATAGAGCATCTTTATATTTGGCTGCAAAGTATATAATAAATCTGATTTTGATATTGACCATCTGGTGGTGTCCATGTGTAGAGTCATCTATTATGTTGTTGGAAGAGGGTGATTGCTATGACCATTGCATTCTCTTGGCAAAACTCTGTTAGCCTTTGCCCTGCTTCACTTTGTACTCAAAGGCCAAACTTGCCTGTTACTCCAAGTGTTTCTTGAATTCCAACTTTTGCATTCCAGTTCCCTATGATGAAAGGGATGTTTCTTTTTGGTGTTAGTTCTAGAAGGCCTGTAGGTCTTCATAGAACCATTCAACTTCAGCTTTTTTGGCATAAATGGTTGGGCATAGACTTGGATTACTGTGATGTTGAATGGTTTGTCTGGGAAACAAACTGAGATCATTCTTTCATTTTTGAGATTACAGCCAAGTACTGCGTTTTGGACTCTCTTGTTGACTATGAGGGTTACTCACTTCTTCTAAGGGATTCTTGCCCACAGCAGTAGATATAATGGTCATCCGAACTCACGTCGCTCCATTCCCATCCATCTTAGTTCACTGACTTCTGAAATGTCGACGTTCACTCTTGCCATCTCCTGTTTGATTACATCTAATTTACCTTGATTCACAAACTTAACTTTCCAGATTCCTGTGCAATATTGTTCTTTACAGCATCAGACTTTACTTTCAACACCAGGCACATCCACAGCTGGTCGTTGTTTGCGCTTTGGCTCAGCCCCCATTTATTCTGGAGCTATTTCTCCACTCTTCCCCAGTAGCATCTTGGACACCTACTGACCTGGGGACTCATCTTTCAGTGTCATATCTTTTTGCCTTTTCATACTGTTCATGGGGTTCTCAAGGCAAGAATGCTGAAGTGGTTTGCCATTCCCTTCTCCAGTGGACCACATTTTATCAGAACTCTCCATCATGACTCATCCATCTTGGGTGTCCCTACATTGCATGGCTCATAGTTTCACTGAATTACACAAGGCTGTGATCCATGTGATCATTTTGGTTAGTTTTCTGTGATTTTGGTTTTCATTCTGCTGGCCATGGGATTGAAGATTTCTTCTTCTGTCTGTCCTCTGATGGTTGAGAATAAGAGGCTTGTGCAAGGTTCCTGATGGGAGCTGTGGGAAAGACTGGGTCTTGCTCTGGTGGGCAGGGCCATGCTCAGTAAATCTTTTTAATCCAATTTTCTGCTGATGGGTGGGGCTGTGCTCACTCCTTGTAGTCTGACCTGAGGCAGCCCTGTCCTGGAGTCTGTAGTCTCCATGGCAGGGCTACAGGCTCTATGGTAGGACTAATGGTGACTTTCTCCAAGAGGACTTACGCCAGCAGGCTGCGCCTCCCAGGATTGCTGCTGCCAATGCCCCTGACCCCGTGGCAGGCCACTGTCAACCCATGCCTTCACAGGAGACTCCCAGAACACTCACAGACAAGTCTGGCTCAGTCTCTTGTGGAGCCACGGCTCCTTTCCCCTGTGTCCTGGTGCACACAAGGTTTTGTCTGTGTCCTCCAAGAGTCTCTGTTTCCCCAGTCCTGTGGAAGTTCTATAGTCAAATCTTGCTGACCTTCAAAATTAGATTCCCTGGGGATTCCCAGTCCCTTTGACCGATCTCCAGGTGGGGAGGTCTGGTGTGGAGCCTGGAACCTTTGTGATAGCATGAGAATTAGGGAAATGAAATCTTGACATGTTTATCACTTGCTGCTAAGTGAGAAGTCTTATCTATAGACTTAAACCACCAGGTAGACTTAAATTTTACACGATGTTAAAGATTCTGACGTGCTTCCTGATTCATTGTGGACCAGGGGGAAAGAGTGAAAATAAAGCAATTGACATGCTCTCCAGGGTCAGGGACAAGCTCACTCCCTAGAGAGTGAGAAAGAGTGAAATTTGGGTCTGATAAACTGAAAAATGATGGATTTAGGAACTTGGCAATGAAGTGTCAGGCTCCCTGCTGGGGTTAATAAATTACATAATACCTGTATGTGAATCTTAAAAGTTTTGAGACAGATAGCAT